CCCCTCTAATAGAACACACAATCGGTGAGAGCAATCATAATCAAATTTTAATGTTTAATATGGATTTCTTGTGTATTCGCGATTCTACACATTAAAAATGAACCTATCTTTCAGATATAAACTCGTGAACCTGTAAAGAATCCGAAATTATGGTTTGTTTAAAAAAAAAAGTATATACGCGCGATTTTAGATTCGGAAAAATCGCTTGAAAGCTTTGATCTTTTAAGTATATTAAAAGGGGATATTTAAAATAACTAAATACTGGATATAACTTCTTCACTTTTAATTGTCACGAACGTACATTGATTATAATCTTCACCTGAGAATTTTTAGTAACAATCTGTGTCGAGCACGTACTGTTTCCCGCTTTTAAAACCCTCTTGATATCAATAAGGTTACCCCACCAAGCGAGAAACAGCCCGCGTATAATAATCACAACTTCCGTTTCCTAATCTTATTTAATCATGTATTTTGCTAAACCGTACAATTACTGTATAGCAAAATACACAAATTTATACAAACGAGTTACTACTACTAAGTACAATTTTTAGAGATATCTTGTAAATACTAATACAATTAAGAAACAGCACGCGGTACAGTAGTCACAACTTCCGTTTCCGAATCTCATAATTATGTATTTTGCTAAACAGTACAATTACTGTATAGCAAAGTACTCAAATCTATGCAAATGAATTACTACTATTTATGTACAATATTACAAAGATATTTTATAAATACTAGTATAATCGCGAAACATCACACAGTATAATAATCACAACTTCCGGTGCCGAATCTAATTTAATTATGTATTTTGCTATAGAGTACAATATTACTGTATAGCAAAATACTCAAATTTACCCAAACAAATTACTAATATTAATTTACAATATTATAAAGATATTTTAGGAATGCTAACAAGTATATGCAATAATTAAGATCATAGATAAGAAAGTTGTTTGAAAATCTTCAGAAATTTACATTGACTTACGAAATTTAAGTCAGTTTTCAGCGTACTGAAATGACGAATGATTTTGGAGTCATGATTATCACCAGTTACACGGTTTTTACAATGGTTTGATTTGTTTTTATTAAGGAAGCTGTAATTAGTGATAATCATTTATAGAATATTCACCAAAGTCTTAAAATCTAATATAACTGACTGAAAACATTTCCATCAATTTTTCCACGCAATCACTTAGTCCGAAAATTGCTCAAAAACTTAGTGTTCTACAAATACGTGTCTTAATTATATGTAAAGAAGTCCTCCTATATCTATAATATCATAACTGTCCCCGTTGCCGAGCGGTTATCATGCCGGACTGTCACGTAGAGGTCCCAGGTTCGATTCCCAAGCCGGGAGAATATATTTGTATGGCCTACATTTACTTTTCTCGTGAGTTTGGGTGTAATTTGTGGTTGTGTATGTGTGTGTCTATGGCACTCACGACACAGAGTTTCCCTAGTGCGGGGCTATGTTGAGTGTGTGACTGTTACATAATGAAAGGCATTAAAATACCAGTGTGTGTTAATGAAACGATCCGATAGGCGAGTTTCATAAAAACGTCACACGAGTGTTTTAATGCCTAATTATGTACAGTTCCATACACTGCTTTATCTACACACATTTTATAAGATCTCTGGGATGTATTCAGAAACCGCTTGTTACGACTGGCAAAATGGCGGCAAATAAAAACTTTTCCCACAGACGTCACACCACCGTAGTTTTTATTTTTAATTCATAGTCAAAGTAGAATCGGTCCCAACTATCATATCGTTCTATATCAAGTAACGTGTGAAATTGTCAAAACTGTTGGCTATTGACATTTCATTTCAAATAAAACTTCACCTCGATTGATATTAGAATTGAAGTCAAATCCAATTGTTTTGTTTTTCAGAGATGTTCGAAATTTGAAGCAATAATAACATTTTCACAGATAATAAATTTGTTCCAACAAAACAGTTTACCTTTATGATGGTTGTAATTTGCAGTTTTTAAATACATTATAGAAAATTTATGATATGTGTGTAGATAAAAAAAAATATTATCTTCCTTGAGGCGTGATTGCCTAATTGACCTAACGTCTCTCCAGCTAGAGGGTCGTGGTGCGAAGCCGAGCTTGCTCCTCTGAATTTTTCGAAATTTATGTGCGTAATTCAATTTGAAATTTACCATGAGCTTTTCGGTGAAGAAAAACATCGCCATGAAACCTGCACACACCTGCAAAGCATTGTGTGTGAAGTTCAGTGGCACTATTAATAGTTCAACTTTCATTGTTATTATTTTCCTTACAGAATAGACCCAATAACCCTGGATACACTAGAACGGAAAAATCTTGCAGACTCGATCGCCATTGTTAACCACACGGCTCATCCACACGTTATGCCAAACGGTAAGACCCTATTCTTGAGCTCCAATTCAATCTTATGTTTATGACAAAACGCATATAATTTTACTAGTGACAGGATACATGTAAAATATGTTTCGTTTGTGGCTGTAGAACCGTCACGTATGAGTGCAAGAATGCTATCTTTAATTATCTCGTTTTTTCTCTTTTTACATTTGAGCAAAATTGCCCGCATTAATATCAGGCGCTTAAATAGGTTTATTGCTCTTTCTTTTGTTTTCTTGCGCAGTGTCGCAACGTATTAAGTAGTGGTCAGATAATCGGATACTTTTTATCTACAGTTCGATTGAATACAAAATATTTATTCGCTAAAAGATGTAATTAACAATGAATTAGCGTCTTATAAGATCGTACATTTCGCCAAAACATTGGCGTAAATAACAATTAGAACTTAATTATAAATTATAAAAACAGGAAGTGAAAAATATACCCAAAATTACTTGCGTAATTAACGTTTTATATTATTAATTAAATTATAATTAAAATAATCAAATGAATTGTGTTGCTCGCAAACATGAAATGCGTTTTTGTATTTTTTGTTCATTTGCTGCGACATCGGGATTAATTAAATAATTACCTAAGTGTAAAAGTAAAGGAAAATAAACGTTTATTGTGTAATTTCATACAACATTTAAATTTAATTGCAAAGATCTTAAGGGCACTGCCACTGCGCCCAACACTCTGAGACATAAGTTGACAAGACACGGGACTTATAATGTGCTTGTAATTTCACCAGCACCCTTACTGCTTAGCGACAGAAATTGGTAAGGTGGCAGTACCTCCCTGGACGAACTCTTTCACAAGGAGCTCTACTGCTACTAAATGTAACATGTGTATATGAGTGTCAATAATTGAAATTTGTTTGTATATTGTTGATATTTCTTTATCGAGGAGCAGTAGGTGGCAACTGCACAGAAAGTACTTGGAAATCGCACTGTAAAGGCCCTAGTTCGTTTTTTGAGACTCATATCGCACTGTTATAACAATAGCGTTGTAACTCAAAATATGTGAAATTCAAGATTACACCATTTCTGAACGTAAAATTTGTTTCTGTACACGTCAATAAAATTGTCGTTACAGTATTGTAAGAAACCATTAAAATATATCTATTTAACCCAAAATGAGACAAACGTTTTGTGAGTTACTTCTAGACAAAACAGTTAAGAATATGAAATTATTTTTTACTACTTTTATTTTTAAATGTACTTCTAATTGGCAAGTAAGAGTTGTTTAGATTTCTAATAAATTTTAACTTATACATAAATTAAAATAATTTAATCTTTCACGGGAACTGAGATTTCGTTTTTCAGCTATTTTGAATAAATTCACTTTTTGAGTTAATACAATATTGTATTAGCAATGCGATATAGCGAATATCATATTCTGATATTTAATTTTACTATAAACGCCGTTACAGTCCGTGACTGGGTTAAGAAGCCTTTTTCATATTTCGGCAGCAATTCACGGAAAATACTTTTTCGTGAATTGCTTTAGGTATTAAATTAATTTAATGTTAGTAGCAGTAGAGATTCTCGTGAAAGTTTGTCCAGGGAAGTACTGCCACCTTACCTATTTCGATCGCCGTGTTTCGGTTTTAAATTGTAACGGTGCTGGTGAAATTCCAGGCACATGGGACTTGTCAACTTATGTCTCAGAGTGACGGCCGCAGTGACAGTGCCCCTCAAATCTTTGCAATTTAAAGCCCGGAGTGGCACTGCAACTGCTATGGACAGGCTAGTCGTTTAACAGCATGCGCACGACTCGTTCGTCCTGCTAATTGGTATCATAAAAAAATATAACATCTATTCATCATATCCGACTACTAGTTCTAAGAGAATAATAATGTTTAATTGCATATCAGAAAACAATACGTATAATATTAATTTTAATTGTATCACTTTATTTTTAAATTTAAGATTGCCTTGGTTTAATTTAATAATGTATAATTAGTTGGTCAATGTAATGTGATTTTTATTAATAATGTTTCTTTGAGACTCTACATTTCGTATGCCTTGATGGTACGTCATGGAGATCAATATTTTAAACGTTAACATCTGTACTGTTATACCCATGATGACGAATAAAATGATTTGATTTGATTTGATTTGATTTGAATATTATGTTAATTATTCAAATAACTTTCACATCTAAAAAAATATTTCACTACAAATAATACAACTGTCCAACGAAACTAGTATCAAAAATAATTTAAAAACATGTATCAAAACTAGACCTCCGCTGATTTCCCAATGTACAACGAAAGTGTTAATTTATTAACAAAAATATGGTTTAAATACGGTTTTATCTATTTAAATTAACTCAGAAGGAAATAACAATTCTTTTACCATAATTATCTTAATTTTTCTCAAAAGTTGCTAGACAAATTATCTTCGTTTATACAATGAATCACGTACAACAAATATATTTGTGATATAACGAATAACACATATTGTATAATATTATTTCAAAAATGTCATCTGATTTACTGAAAATAATCAGGACTTTGTATCTCTTTCGCATACAACCTTGAGTCTAGTCCGATATGCCCGAATAAAGAACAAGCTAGAACGCTGTGCAAATGAAACTGCCCTCATTTTTTCAAAAACTATAAATGCAAAAAATCATGTTGTAGGGTTAACTGTTCTTGTTCGAGAAGCCTTATTTAACCACAAAAAAATCTGCAGATGTTTAGCCTCGTAATTTTTTTGGTTCCATTTTGTTTGAGTTCAATATATGTAGTTATTTTGTAGTTGATTTCTAAATAGCATAGAGTTAATTGTGACAAACAGTAACCTAATTAAGACATTATATTGTTTATCTGCTCGACAATGGACACTGGTCTCATCTCAGCGGCCAAAGTGCGAAATCAAAGAAGTACTTATTAAACAATGGAGTAATAATTATTAAAATTCATTTCAACTACTTGTTCTGTTTTAGGTGATGTTTATAACGTTGGAATGTCTCTCGTTAAATGCAGAATTCGTCATGTTGTTGTCAAGTTCCCATTCAATGAGAAAGGTACGTATATATTTCAAGGTAACAAGGTAACTCATTGCCATCTTACATAACTGTAATCGATTAATGAATCGAATATGTATACGAGTACATGTTGTCCCACGGCTATCGTCGGGAAAGTGCGTTAAATATTGTAGATACGATATTTTATTTCATGGAGATATTTCTGATTTTTAAAAGCAAGTGTGTAATCTTTTGTTTAAATAAAACTGCAGTTACACATTAAAATTATATGTACTATTCTTTTTGAAACAATTGTATTTTTTTACTTCTGCCATGAGATTCATTCATTCATTCATAACATAAAAAGTAAATAACTAATCTACACGAATTGCATTTCTCGGTGAAGTGTGGCGAAATCTGGTGTCAGGTAACCATTCATAAATAAATGTATAAAAGTTATTATAATCATATTACTTATATGTAAATTAATAAAACTATAAAATAACTTCAGTCCTTTTGCACATTAAACAATTAGAACAGAGAATTAGAGAAAAATTTAAGCAGTTTTTCATTTACTGAAATGATTTAAGAACAATACAAAACAGTATAACATAAAAATTATTTAGTTATTAAAAGATATTTAAAATCATTCATTTTTATGTAATCTAACAGTAAGTAACACTGCCATCAAAGAGTTTTAAAAAATGCTTGATAATCCTAGGGACTGAACCAACCAATATTTGTGGAAAAAAAAAACCTGTATTACTTCGAATATTTATCATAATAGAATAATTTGTTTTTCTTCGCACCAAATATCGTGTGATAGTCAGCCAGTCGTCACCACGGCATCTCTAAGGAGCCCAAAACGTTCGTTTGTTTGAAAAAACTAATAAACGCGATTTCAGATTCAGATAGTATAATAATGATAATAAATTTAGTTTCAAACTAGGAATTTCTCTGTATTACGAGTAACAGAGTAATGAAATTATTTCTGAGGCACTACCCAGAACACCCAGACCACCAATTTAAAACAGTATGTTTTCCAAATTGATTCTACCGGTGCCTCTTTATGTAGCGCCTATAGTTTTAACCGCTGGGCCACCGAGGCCGTAAAACAATGGATAATATACTGTATACATACACAAGGACATAATTATTTATTGGAACGCTAAAAAAAATTAATTTTAATAAGAATAATGTTCATTGACCACTAGCCGTTTAATTTGAAAAAAGAATGCTCGATCGTCTTTTGATTAACTTTCTGGAATATGCGTTATACAAATCTTTGCATTAAGCGCCATCTAGTTGATTTGTGTGGTATCACTAGAAATTAGAGTACCTAGCTTTCTTTCTTTCTCAATATAAAACAAATTTGTTACAAAAATAGCTTTAAAAAATAATAAAATAAAAAAAAGTTGCCATGTATATCCATGATTAGGTATATAGATATTACAACATGCTTAGAGAAAAACTTTTAAAGACAACTGACTGAATTTTATGCTTCTGTTTGCAGGTGATATGTTCCAAAGAGCTCATATAGTTGGTCACATGAAACCTCGATGGGAATTGCATCCTGCCTATATGCATACCTTTGGTAAGTTGCCAACAATTGTTTCAAACCACGCAGTCAGAGATATAGGCAGATATAGGCAGTGGGTTAAAACCCAATCAACCCACCCGGGATTAAATCGGTTTTTTACCTAAATCCATTAAATTTAAGTCCATTTCTGCCCAAAATGGTGGGCGGAATCTGCGAATATGGAATTTGGTATAATTCCATACTTATTACAAATTTCGATGTAAAAAATCTTTTTTAGACGAAAAAGAGGCAACTCCACGCAATACTCACCTTGCAATCTTGTGGATTCTCACTATTAAAGATGCACATTACGATTCAATTTTGTAAGACTCGAATAAAGTGCTTACAATCTGAGCATTTTTTCTATGGATTTATTTCCATGCAATTTTCCAGCGAATACATTCAATACAAAAGCAAATCGAATCGTCTACGTCAGAAAGCAATAAGCATTTGTAATAATGTCATTACATTTGAACAAACCCTGATGTAAATAGTTTTTGCCCACGATTTCGGGCGTTAATGGGTGTTAACCCGATTTAAATCCGCCGTTGGAACACGGGCGCTTGTCCATCTCTGGGCGTAGTGCTAATAAGCTATGGCGCCACGTTAAGATAAATTCAATTATTATTACTGGACTTCATCGAGGTGATGTCGTATTGTCTATATTATAAATAATAATATTAAAATACCTAGTCCTGTCAAGGATTCTTTATTTGTGTTCGATCTTTGTGTTAATAAATATAACAAACTAATGAGTAATTAAACAAAAATAATATTATAGTTGTAAATATCATAATATTCATTACAATCAATATTATACTATATAGAATAACAGAAAACTACTTCGTAATAGTGGAGAAGCCATTATCGGTCATACAGCGCCCACAGTACAAGCCCTAGGACCACCGAGGTAGTCACTCGATAGTCCTACGGCTTGTGCTACCGAGATAACATCTCCCAAATTTCTATTCCGGAAGAAATCTCTGCTTAGTAGGTCACCTGTAATAAATTGGATTATTCCAATATACTTACATTTATATGTTCCGAGTTGTCTTTGTAATTTTTATATGCAATAATGAATATTCAATATTTCATTCATGATTATATTAAATATTGCATCTTCGATCCACGGGACCACCAATTTAGGACACTGGTTTTTCTAGTCCAAGTATTTACGATAGCATTTACTCTGGAATACAATATTTGTACTGTCGTGGGTTACGAAAATCGAAATGAAAAATGAAATGTCGTGGGTGTCGAAATAAATTTCGTGCATGCATTTTGTTCTTTTTAACGAAGATTTCTTCCCCATTTTTCAGGAATAACAGAAAACTACTTCGTAATAGTGGAGCAGCCGTTATCGGTGTCGTTACTGGGCGTGGTGAAAAACCAGCTGGCCGATGCACCTCTCATCAATAGCTTAAAGTGGAACCCTGAACATGAAGTGAGTGTATAAGTCTACTAGAATTTCATGACAAATCGGTAAATTGAAAATTGGTAGAGCAGTAACACTTAGAATAATTAGAATAAACATTCAACACTATTTATATTAAAAGTCCGCGTCCGCAAAAGTTTCTAGAGTATTCGAACATTGTAAACTATCAGGTGAACCAGTATTTACAATAAATGTATCTAAATAGATATTGATATATAAAATTCTTCTTTTTTTTAATCACAAAGACGAAATCTTGACCTCCTATAATCTTATGTTGTTGTGCGAGACTTTAAAGAATTATATGTGCACCTCTTCTAACTGCCGGTGCTGAATTGAGGCTAACTCTTTGGGGCAACATAAATTATTTATGCAATAAATGATACGACTATGACCATTTTTTGATTCTTAATTATATAGTCTAAAGTCGTAGTAGTATAAAGTATTATATATAATATAGTCCATTTGTTTAGGTACTTAACTAAATGTAAACAATCTAGAGATATCAATTTAATTAAATATATATTAATAAAATTACTTTTACTGACCTTCAAATACAAAATAGAAATACTTAGCTTCATATGAAATTGCATGCCTATTTTTATACCTATAGATTTGTAAAGCATATGTTTCAATAAAAATATGCATCAAGATTGTTTACATTTAGTTAAATAGCTAAACAAATGAACTATAGGGTTGTTGAGAATGTTGACATCCGCATCCGCGGTTAATGAGCATGAATTAAAATAACCGCATCAACCTCCGCATTGATCAATGCTGATATTCAATTCTTATATTCGCGTCGTGATATTACCTAAAGGGCCGGGGGCTACAGGACGCTGAAATAGTTTACAAACTATCCAGAAATTGTCGTTCTTACTTTTGATAATATTCCAGTATGAGTAAGCTAGATAGATTGATACTTTATATTCAGGTTGATTTTCTAATTAATAAATGTCAAAAAATCATTTAGAAAATCAAAATCATTAAAGAAGCTTTTTCATTACTTTCTACAAGAATCTGTAAATTACTCATATTTTATTTTAAATGGATAACATCAGCTTCTGCTGTTAAGTGTTACGCGTAAACAACCTGAATCAGCCACAACCCTGCTCTTAACATCTTGAACTGTAGCTCGCGGCATTCCCATTCCATCAATGAGTTATATTAACATGTAAAAAGGTTGATATATAATTGGTTAGAGGCCTGAAGAGACATCTTGTAGGCTGGTAGGGAGTAGGAGACTAAGGCAATGATTATTTCAACACTGCTCTTTGTATTTCACTTACCTTTCCACATCAGGTGGAGTGGAGACATTTGCGTGTCATATATAAAAAAAGTATAGCGCTAAAATACGCGTAACAAATTTTATTAAGATCAAATGCAGTCAAGAGCGTTTTGTGTCATTTTGTGTCAAATTCCAGACGCAAATAGTTCTTATCAGCCGTAAAACGGGAGAAGAAGTGAAGCGATACCGGACAGAGACGCTCTTCTATCTGCACATCATTAACACCTTCGAGCAGGATGGCAAGCTGGTGGTCGATCTATGCGCGTATAAAGACGCTAAGGCACTGGATGCCATGTACATACAGTCTATTGAGGTAATTACGTCATCACGTACTTTAATATTCTAGTGAATGATATTGAACATGTGCCTGTAGGAAATGAAACTATTTTTCCGGATTTTAATCGCGTATATTTGTTTTTTCTCTGAGTCTGAGTACGAGTCAACCGTGAACATGGGACCTGTAAGGGGCCCGAAACGTCGGTTTGTTTGAAAAACCAAATATACGCGATTTAAATCCGGAAAAATAGTTATTTTCCTATGTGTAACAATCGCGAAAACCTAAGAACTCGACATGTGCCTGTAGTTGTGTATTTCTTGTTCTAAATATAGGAATGCCTTTTTGTTGGAATGAAATCAGATGCATATTTTCCTTACTTTAATGTTGGCAAAAAATTCAAAGAAACTAACAAGATCGCTATTTTAGTAATTTGGCAACATTTGTCGCCAAAACTAACCTTCTCGGTAATATTAACAATAAATAGGTAACATTACTGTGTAACATCACTGTTGTAAGGCAGAGTCTTTATAGCAATGACTGCAACCGAAGAGTAGCTATAATGAAGTCGATAATTGGAATATTTCAGACGATGCAAAGTAACGCGAACTACGCAGACTGGTTCCGAGGTCGACCAAAGAGGATCGAAATACTCTTGGACGCACCTCAATTTACCCATTTTGACGCCACTGTATTAGTAGATTATGGCTGCGAGACACCTAGGATTCATTATGATCTTTATAACGGTGAGATAGACCCTTCTTACTAACCAATCAAGTACCAAAGTAAGTAAATAGTAAGTAGAGGACTTTTATTTGTTTTTTCTAAAGTAAACTTGACGATGTTACGTGGTTTGTCTAGTAAATGCCTGTTCACTCTAGCCTTGAATAGTTAGCAATAATTGGCAAGTGGCCGGCTACAAGTTGTCCTGTTGCCAATGATGGCGTGTTTACACTAGGTCGACAGGTCACCTTCGCTTGCTTGTCCAAGGTAGCAACCTATTCAGTATAAACACTTGAGTCGTTTGACGACCGTAGTTCGCTGCCTAAGTTAACCGAGACAGCTAGGTGCACTTAGTAAGTGCACTTAGGCGACTGGGTTCAGCAAGCGACGGTCAATCAAACAAGTTTCAACGTGTCGGCGGCTGCGTCCCACCACGATGCGTCTGCTGGAGACCGGACAATACTTGTCTTCGCTATTAGTTTGTTGAACGTTTCGAAAGATTTATTGTGCCTCTGTTTGTTAACTTGTATTCAGAATGACTTGGTAATTCCGGTGAAAGCAGTAGTCGACTCAATGTAAACAGCGCGTTGACCACGCCGCCTACGTTAGCTAAATTCGCTTCTCGAAAAGGCGGTAGTCGACCCTGTGTAAACAGCGAGTCGACTACACCTCCCAAGAGACGGTCAATCAAACACGTTGAAACGTGTCGGCGGCTGCGTCCCACCACGATGCGTCTGCTGGAGGCCGGACAATACTTGTCTTCTCTATCAGTTTGTTCAATGTTTTGAAAGATTTATTGTGCCTCTGTGCGTTAACTTGTATTTATAATCCGGTGAAAGTAGTTGTCGACTCAGTGTAAACAGCGCGTTGACCACGCCGCCTACGTTAGCTGAACTCGCTTGTCGAAAAGGCGGTAGTCGACACTGTGTAAACAGCGAGTCGACTACGCCTCCTCTGGCAAGATGGAGTACTCTGTCGACGGCGGTACACGCCACGAAAATTGTCGCTAGCGACCGCCTTATATACTTTACATTATTACTTTACAAGAATAAGTAACAGTTTATATATATTATATATTAAGCAATTGCTAGCGACAAATTCATTGTAAATTCATAGTCGGTGGCATGATCCTCTCTAGTACGCGAGTGAGGAAGACATGTAACGTATGACACGTTTTGAATAATATTGAGCTATTGCTAGCAGCGGTTACACACGCTAGTTACCTTTCATCTGCCAGGCAAACATACGGGTATCTCCGTATTTTGACTATATTTTGTGTATAGGTAGGAACCTTTACATCACAAAATTAGATATTAATTTAATCCTTATACTGCAGGTCGGCCATACAGATATTTTTACGCCATCAGTTCGGAAGTGGATGTAAGTCCTGGCTCGGTAAGTTTAACTACTACTTCATCTCTTTTTAAAACTAAATTTTAGAAATAAAGAACAATAATGAATATTAGACAACATCATGTACTTTGTTCTTGTCCTAACGTAAGTAGCTAAAGCACTTGTGGTATGGAAATCGGAATTATCAACGGTACCACAAACACCCAGACCCGAGACAATATAGAAAAGTTAGTTTCTACAATGACCCGGTCGGGAATCGACCCCGGGACTCAGAGATGGCAACACCATGAAAACCGGTGTGCAAGCCACTCGATCACGGAGGCCGTCAAACTGAAGTGTTCATTGTGATTTGCAGTTGATCAAAGTGGACACGATGACCGGAGAAGTAAAAACTTGGAGCAATGTAAATTGCTATCCTAGTGAACCTATATTTGTGCCGGCACCTAATGCTAAGGTGAGAAAGAAGTTGGATAATCATGAAGTTGGAGTGGGAAAACGTTTCGTTGTTTTTGATAATTTTTGTTTTATCTTCTAGTTTTTAATACTTTTGATATAACTTTATAAAATAATAATAACTCAAAAGGACTGCCAAAATATCAAGATAACCTTAGAAAAAGGTCAAAATTCCTTCCTATATCTAGATGGCACTGGATGTAGCATAGTTTATATTATTATACATAGCCGTGGATATCAATTAATTCCCTTTTATATGAAATATAGGTTAGTTTTTTTTAGTTGCAATATTATTCAAATATTGATCTCCTTCTTCCTGTCCTTATCTCACGCTAGGTGCCGACCCGGCACAAGATGTATTTTTCTTCCACTCTCCCCTATCAGCCGTCATTTTTATACCCAGTCCTTTCTTATCCATGTCATCTTTCACACAATCCATCCATCTTTTCTTTGGCCTTCCTTTTCCTTTATATCCCTCCACATTCATACTTAACAATCTTTTCGTCACATGATATTCTTCCCTCCATATGACATGTCCATACCACGCTAACCTATTACTGCTCTTCTTTTCCATCACTAGCGCCACTTTCAAACTTCCCCTGATGTTCTCATACCTTATCTAATCCTTTCTCGTCACTCCACACATCCATTTCAACATTCGCATTTCCGCTGCAAGTGTATGCAGCAGTTCGTTCATCCTCCCTTTTCATCTCCCAACATTCTGATCCATACAGTGAGACAGGTCTAATTACGGTCTCGTATATTTTCCCCTTTAACTTAAGGGGTATTCGCCGATTAAGGGGCATTTCATCCATCCTGCACTTATCCTGTTTTTAAAGCCCAGGTTTATCTCGCCGTCGTTCTGTATTAACGAACCGAGATACCAAAAATCGGAGCATACTGGTAGGGATACACCATCTAAGGCAATATTGGTAAAGCCGGAGGCACCGCTAAAGTCGAGGAAAAGCTATTCGGGTTTCGACCGGTCGTTTATCAAATGAATTAAAATTATAATACGTGTCAATAGAATGATGACATCGTGACTAATTTATAAATTAACGCTTCCTAATATGGACAGATGGCGTTAATCCTAAACAAAATAAAAAACTGAGCTGTCTGTGTAATAAGCGCCATCTAGTTGATTTGTTTCTTATCACTAGAAATTGTGGCTTTGATAAATTGCAGCTCGTCGATGTGAAACAAATTAGTTACACAAATAGCTATTTGGTACTCGTTGCGACATCTGGTGAACCAATAGGTACTAAATACCCGACCACGCTGCTTCGTATAGCGATTCTCTTGAGTTATTGAGCCATGGTAGTATCTATTCGTAGTTGAAGTGTGGTGTGAATTAGTTTATATTTAAAATACTAATTTTATTTTTAGGAAGAAGATGAGGGCGTATTGTTGAGCGCTTTGGTGTGGGGCAGCAATCGGCAGCGGGCTGTCGCGCTGCTGGTGCTGGACGCGCGTTCCATGCGCGAGGTGGCTCGCGCAGAGTTCATCACGCCATCGCCAGCGCCCAAGTGCCTTCACGGCTGGTTCCTGCCTGAGCGCGCCTAAACCTTGACTCTCGATGTCCGTTAAACAATTCAAAATAATTAACAAAAGGACATATAACTCGAGAGAACAAGATTGTTAAGTGTAGTCAAAGTGATAACATAGTGATATTTGACATTAAAATAGTTCCAATGTGACCATTTTAAAAGATACAGGATGCCTCAATTAAAAAATATAACTGTGAAATGAAATGAAGGAAAAACATAACAAAATTTTTAAAACAATCAATTCTATCATAGGTTTAATAATAGTAACTATTTCATTGAAAATTAAACCGACCTCAAAAGTTTGCTTAACGGCTTTCTCCGATTTCCATGGGATCCCCTCATCAGATCCTGACTTCTTAGTAACAATGGGACTGTTACGGACTCATTTGTACATTTTATGCTTTTTATTTGGGTTGTCATGGTGACAGTGATTTGTTGATTACATGTATTGTGTCAAGTGAAAAGTCGACTTTTATTTGTGGAATTTTTTTTTAAGTTGTCATAGTCGAAACGAACCCGGGACAGCTTCGTTAGAATCAGGGACCACCTCGAGAATATACCCTTTCAAACAATGAAAAAATTTTCTAAATCGGTCCACAATTCTTGGAGAAATCGGTATGTCAGTGTACATGTGTTTAAAATTAGAGGATTTTCATCGATTTCCATGGATGGGGATGATGAGGGGTCATCAGATTTTGACTTGGTGACAATGGGACCACCACGAGAGTGCACTCTTTCATACAAAATAGATTTTCTAAAACGATCTAAAATCTAAATCTGAAAACATATTTAAAACATACAGCCGAAGAGAAGAAGAAAGTATAACCTCCTCCTTTTTTTCGAAGTCGGTTAAAAGTATGTGATCGAGTGACTTGCACACCGGTTTTTATAGTGTCGCCATCTCTGAGGTCCCGGGTTCGATCTCTCGCCGGGTCCGGCCCTGTATTCTCGTTCTCCGTCCGACATCCCTCCAAAACAATTAAGCGTGAAACACACAGGGTGCGGGTGCGTGTCGGGTGCAGGTCGGGTCACGGTGGGTCTAATTCCGTTTATTTACATGGACGGCAAACATACCTAGCGCGAGGGCGGGACGAGCGCACCATATCGCATGTTGCGCATGTGGCGCGCGTGGGCGCGTGTTGTCGTGCATATAAATACACGGAATTAGACCTGTCGCGATCCCGACCCGACCCGCGCCCGTCCGTATAGTCTCTGGGGGTCTACTCTCGATCTCCGTCCGAAACAATTACTGCCAAATAAGCAATACTTGACCAAATGAAAAGACGCGTGATGCGAATGAAGCTTCATACCGGATACTCGTCTTTTAATTTTGTCGAATATTACTTATTTGACAGTAATTGTTTCGGACGGATGTCGGACGGAGATCGATAGTAGACCCCCTGATTCGGAACGAATACGTTATAAACGAACGAGAGTTTCAGGAATATTTGTTTTTTAGCTGATAATTCCAAGAATCATGAGACTAATTCATGATAATTTTAGAGTGTGTAGAAGGCAGCTAAGCCAACCGCTGGTGTAAAAATCTCGATATAATATAGATAATAATACTATATATAATAATATTATTGAAGTAAAAGAAATAAAAAAGAAAAAAATTAAATAAAATCAAATAATTTTGTAACGAATAAACCTATGTCATTGCTGATTACTTTAAAATGTGTGTTATTTATGGTATCGAACGACTAAATCGGTTGACTAATAGTTTTCAAATGTTATAAATTATGATATTTTTTTATGTTTATCCGGACGAAAATTACGCCGGTTTTAATTAATTTTTCTCTGCAACTATAAATATTTGCATCCCGGAGTTTTACTCTTCCATTTGTGTTAGTTCAAATTACAAGTATCAGGTAAAAAGGGCATGGCACAAAATTGGGGCTTATAAAACACTGTGGTACGCTTAAACATAATGATAGTGTTACCTTGAAAGCAGTTAATTTATAATGTATCCGTAGATCTTAGGCTTGAAACTGCGTTACGCGGGCCCCGCGCGTGTCCATACAAAAATGACACGCGCGTGCTGCCCGCCCGGGCGCCCGTCGCGTGGACCTTCCGTGCAACGGGGCCTGCATGCACGCGACGGGATCCCGCATCCCGTTGGACGGATGCACGCGCCGAGCCCGCTAGCGGTAAACACGCGCGTGCTTGTTTAGTTGAAAACACTATCTCGAACCGACCTCACGCGCGTGCCAGGCGCATAAAATACCATAGGAGGTATAATAAGAAATAAAAATGTGTAATGTTGATACAGAAAGGGTGATTGTAGAAGTTCAGTGTCGTCCTGCAATATGGGACCATTCAAGTGAACTTTACAAAGACCGGGACGCTAAATCAAAAGCATGGCTAGAAATTTGTAAAATATTGTTGGTACTACGTACTTGTACGTACGTCAAAATTGTACTATCGAAACTGCGTTCCGCGGATGCCCGCGCCGAAGCACGCGACGTGCACCCGGGCGGGCACCAGACGCGTGGCCCGTAACGGGATGCACGCACGGGGGCCCGCATAACGCAGTTTCAGCCCTTAAATAGAAAACCACCGTGAGACTAATAGGTATAGACGGAACAATTAATATATATGTATAATATACCTCAAACATAAAAAAAATCGTTTATGTAAAAAAGTGCACATTTACAATTGGTCAATCCTTGACGAACAAATAATATTATCCCGTTTATTTATAATGATATTTATATAAAGTATGATTGGAATATGAAAACATAAAACTTGCTAAGCTTCACTTACATGTCTCGTCTGACAGGATTTTATAATGTGTTGGTGGACAACCTTCGCACTCTCGCATTTGAGTTATGTGCAGCCGCCAGTCAATTACCGCGTTACTCTACATATTCCATAAGCACCTCATATCTATAGTGCTTATGCTATCTTTGATTTGTCGCCAAGAATTTATTAAGTTTTGTTGGGGTAAGTACCTAATTTTTAATACCATAGCGGTGATAATAATCAACCTTCAGATTTTATTAAAACAAACACATAAAAAAGCTAAGTGGATGTCTCCTATGGACTTCGCACCCTATACCTTATACCTTTGGTATAAAGATTGTGTTTCACAAAAGTATTACATCACGTAAATGGCAAATTTACAATATCTACAGGAACCTTAATTCTTGCCCCGTTCAGCTATTTCTGATTTTATGAAGAAGGTTGACTAAAACAGTCAGTTAATTTTTATTCCTCGCATGAATATTGTCTATCACCGCTTTTCACGAAAAAATCACTGTTCTCATAAATTATATTTTATTTAATGTTCTATGACGGCAGTGGTAGAATGTTCAAAAGCGTATTCAATATGAATTATTGTGCTTTATGCTATTTCGTTTAATAAAACATTACCTCCAATGAACACTACGTTAACTTAATTTTTTATTTCTTTATTCATATTTTTCACAAAATTCGATTCTTAGTTTTTTTCGAATTTTGATTTTGTTCTTTATTGAATTTTTTTCACAAAATTCGGGGAGCATAATATAAGTAAATAAATATGGCTGTTTACAAATATAACAGAAACTGACCAAAAGCTATAGTTGGCTTAGTGAAGAAGTGATCAAAAAGCGATATCGCAAATCTGTTGCATAGACTTAAAATTACGGCCAGCTGCCATGACCGCAAAAACTCAATACTTTTAAACCTCGTAAATGGCAAATCTTCATTATGTACCGGAATATTATTATAGAAGCTTATAATTTTGCTCCTTTAAATAATTAGTGATTTCGGGAAGGTCTATTTTTATTCCACGGATTAATATAGTCTATCACGGCATGTCATGAAAAAAAAAAAACTAGAAGACGTCGGTTCGAATCCGGTCGGAACGAACGAATTTTTTCTAAGTGTTCGTCGATCTTACAAAAATTAATAATTAGAACAAACTAGTGGAGTAATTCAACAAAAAATAATTGAATGTCAAATTCAATATAAATTTAATAAAGTATTTCCTCCGAAAAAAACCTGTGAAATAAATACCATTTCTCTTGCTACCTTTCTTAGAAAGATTTATTTGTAGAAGACGAATTGTGTTCTCCTTGGCACAATATATCGTTTACGTCGAGTATATTATGCTTAAAGGATGAAAACAAAATAAAGGAAATATTATGTCTTAAATATCCCGTGACACTTTGATTTTTTTTTATATAATATCCAATGACGGGAGGAACTAGTCGTGCGCCTGATGGTAAAGTACACGCCTGCCCATAACAGTTGCAGTGCCATTCAGAGCTTTAAATCGCAAAGTTCTGAGGGGCACTGCTACTGCGCCCGTCACCCTGGGACATAAGTTGACTTAAGTCCTACGTGCTTGTAATTTCACCAGCACCCTTACCCTTCAAAACCGGAACACAGTAATGCTGACATTACTGCTTGGTGGCAGAAATAGGTAAGGTGGCAGCACTTTCCTGGACGAACTTGTTCAAAAGCAGTTCTACTGCTACTAAAATTTCTCCTTTAGAATTTTTATTTAGACCGGAGAGTACCATTTTGGATGATATTTACTTATTATTAGTTTAGTTGGATTGGCGGAAACAATTGGCGGGTGTCGTCAATTGTTTCACTTCAAATCGACCAGTTTAACTTGAGCTTTGTTAAAATGGACGAAAATTTAAAATTTACGTAATTTAATATTTATTACGTAATTTAATAATTTGCACCCTGTTAGTAGTAATATTGCCACTCCTCCTCTACGTTCGCGCCGACAGTAAGATGCTGCGAAGTTGTAGCCGTCTATACGGATCACGTGTTTTTGGTTTTTTGAATCCAAGTTTTTGTAAGACAAACCACTTGAAATTTCCTATCTTGTAGAAAAGTTTCTAATATGTGAGGTTTGTTTTTGATACTTTGCGTGTTCTGGAATAATATGGCGGTGTTAGTACCTTCGAGTTAGAGTTTGATGTATGATAGTTGGGTTTATTATTGTTTTTATTCGTAGAATATATGTTGTTTTCAGATTATATATTCGTGTTTTTGGGCTGATGGTTTCTTATTTTTCCTTCATACAGTGAGTGGTTTGATGTTTCATTATTATGTTCTTCTTCTTTTAAATATTCTTTTCCGTTGACTATTAGTTTGTTGTTTCGAATTAAGGCGTGGTTCCCTTGTTGTCTTTGTTCATATAATGTTTTCATCATCAAGAAATGGTGATATTCCCAAGCCAGAGTTTCTAAAGAGCCAATAATTACGAAGAATATAGTAAGTGTTTTTTTACTAATAAATTCTACAGCCACAGGTCTTCGGTTACCTCTTCTTCTTAGGCGTGTTGTACTTTCTAAATAGCCTTCTAGGTCAATGTTCATGATGTCATAGAAAATATTCATTACACGCTCATCAAGTTGGTCTTCATTTTCCCACTGATACTCTTCAAGCCCATATAACACAATTTTATACTCAATGTCCATTTGTGGTTTGTATGTTTGTGATAGGATTTTCCTTTTCAAGATCTTGTATTTCCTTTTTTAAACTGTTGTTTTAGGCTTGGAGTTGTTGTATTTTTATGTCTAATTTTTCTAATGTTGTTTTAATCGCATTATGTTTAGTATTTATATTATTCAGTTGTTCCGAGAATTTACTTATTATATTTAATAGAGAAAATGTACTGTTATAGTGCTGTACATACCTAGAACTATAATGAGTTTCAAAAAAAGAACGTCGTAATTTTGCTAATTGAAATATCTATTAGGACGCTACTCAAACGTTATACCTCCTGGTTGGTTAAATTGGCCCAAAAGTCTTCCAACCGTATCATAAATCTTTATTTAAAAAATGATTGATTAAAATATATGCGGTAGTTGGCCAGTTCTATTCTCTTTGGTTTTTTGTTTTGTAGTGTTTGTTTGGCTTTCGTCTAAATATATGAAAAGACTGTATGTAACCTTCACCTACTTTAATAAATGGGTTAAAATTTATTTAAAAAAATGCGTTAGTTGTCATGGTTTGTTAACAAAATATACATTAAATATTGGTTCTATTTCAAAATTTTATTTGCCAGTAGAATAGTAGATTGTACAACAAGTGCAAAAACCGCGTCATTTTACCCAAGCGAAGGTGGATACTTAAGTCAAGGGTAAAATGGGTTTTATGAACAAGTTATAGCTCTGCTTTTCACTTCAATTGCAAGGAAATTAAACAGCAATATTACAAATAAACGATTATTTAATTTAAATTGAATGTAAAATTACAACAATTAGACATATTTAATGTAATGGTTTTTTTTATTTTATGCACTAGAGCATGAGAAGTGGAAAAAGTATTATGTGCAATAATTACTTAATTAGGTCTTAAAATCTATGTACGTATATATTTAATCTACGTACTCTATCTTACCTATTACTTACGTGGTACTCGACTTTAAGAACCCTCACTAAGCGACGATTGCATAAAATCATAAAATACTATTTAAATGACGCGTTATTCAACGTATTTCGTCACGACCAATTTCAATTATCAATGCACCGTGATGACGGTCTATCGTTAAAACACACACACACGCACGCGAACACACGCGCACGCGCACACACGCGCACACATACACACACGCACACACGCACACACGCGCGCGCGCGCGCGCGCGCGCACGCACACACACACACACACACACATACATACACACACAAACGCGCGCGCGCGCGCACACACACACACAAATGTGTGTACGCGCGGTACATACCCACACAGGTTTTAAGATTCAAATTAAATTTAAAATGCGATCCGGCTGAAAATAGGCGAGGTGTTCAAGAGTCCTTCAAGAATCATAATTTGGGGTTAAAAGTTTTTTTCGCTATTGTTTAATACGGAATTGCTGAGAAAAATGGCTGACGAAAGAAACTTACTCTAATTTGGCTGAACATTGGCATAAGGAGGCCTCTAAAAGTGTCGGATAAAAATTTGTGGTCAAAAAGAATTTTTCACTATCTTCAAATATGGCCGCCATACAAGCGTTCCTTGGCGGCAGAAAAAAAAGCCTGATTCCTTTAAAAATTAGCATGTGTGGGAATGCTAGATAATAATTTGCTGACAACATACATTTTTCGCCATTTTTCAATATGGCGGGCTGCCATAAAAACTTTTTTGGGGCAGATAAAAATTTGCTCTAATTCGATTGAAAATGGCATGTCGTCAATCATAATTTGGGGTAAAAATTTTGTTTCAGCCGTTTTTTGACATAGCCGCCGTACAAGTGTAATTTTTTCGATATAATTAGGTGTTTAAAAAACTTGCTTTGTTCGGGTAGAAAATTGGCACGGAAAGATTTCTAGGATTGTCTGATAATAGTTTGTGATCGAAATATATTTTTGCAATTTTTAAATATGGCCGGTATTACAAAGCTATATATTTTTTTAAAACAAACCCCAGGCCTTAGTCCGAGGTCCAGCGGAGGGTGAAGCCCGGAGCGTCTGCACGCCACCGTACGTAGGTAGTATACGAGTACAATATCTCACAATTGTTCAAAAATGTAAAGCATACTTCCCGATGCAGTGGAAATTAGATACTTGTAGCGTTGTTGTATCTCCCCGTCTGTTAGATTCCTTTTTCTTGGAATCTACGCCCAAGAGATGTATTTAGGGGAAAAAATACCAGACAATCACATCAAATTTCTGGTCTCAAATTGGGAAATTTCCTGTACATACCCAGAATATCCAAACCATAACCAACTTAGAAATATTCGTTTCCTAAATTAGCTCAGATCGGGAATCGAACCCGGAACCTCCTCATCAAACGCCCACAGTACTAACCGCCGTAACCCGTAACCCCTGAAGAGCATAAGCAAACTCCGTAATCGAAACCAAACCACGTGCCGCAGGCCGAGCCCATCCTGCAGTGCTCGTATATGTATAAGTCTATTTTTACATTAATTACTAGTTTTCCATTTTAAGACTGCGCCGAGGCAGCGATACGTAATTGCGAAATAATTGCGTTCAGTTGATCACTTGCTGTATCGTTATTACTATAACTTTAGTTACGAAATTATGTCGGTATAAGATATTTAAGGATCCACTCTATAAATCATACTCTTTAGAAACACGATTACTTGTAGTTTCCTCGATAGAAAAAAAATCGAAGTTATCTCTAAAAACCCTTTGTATGGTACTACTCATATATTCTTCGGTATGTATAACTCTGCACACGCGCCGATCTACTTTAGCCACGTGCCACATTTTAATTTGAATACGTAATTCACTCTTTATTTTACGTAGTAAGTTACCAACTGTTCACCGATACACTACATCAAGGAAAGATTTGCCACCTTAACACCTGTATTTTATACCAATATACTTTTTCCATTTTCTTTGCAAATCTTTCTCTGTGTACTACCACTACAATCCACGTATGGAGTAAGGTGGCCCATATATTTTGGTCCTTCGAGCAGCCTATGGATATACACTAGACATCTGCGTACATTTTGATCCTTCGAGTAACGAGTATTTTTCAGTGTTTTGTGCTAGTGACGTTAGTAAATCGGTACGAGTGGCCTCCCACAAGCGGGTCTTATCAGTCGTATTGGGAAGACGCATATAGCATTACTAAGTGCTAGCCAGAGCCGCCACCTTTGCCCCTGGCCGCATTAGTCCTGCTTCAGCCGTCTGACGGTTGGACGTGGAGGTTGTGTCGCTTGGGCTTACGTACATCTTTAAAAACGTATGCCACACGCACACGTACACGGAGCGCATAGAATACCTAAATCAATTAGCACCAGAAGCTCGGTGCCCTCTTAACACATTTTTGCACAATGATCACATTGATTAAATTAATTGATTACATAGAAAATATTTGAAAACATCCGAACATGCTAAAGTTCCTTAATTACTCACAGGCAACCGTAGACAAAAAAATGTAGTACTTCATGAACGCTGTTTTTTTGTTACACATAGAGAAGCGACGTGCTCTTTAGCTTCGATTTTTATCGACAAATTATGTAACGAAGATTACTCAAGTTGATTTCTCTGTTGTATATAAAAATAATAATGAAATAAAGTATAAATAATTAAATAAATTGTAATTGTTTAATAAAAATCATCATAAATCATGCCGGATAGCACAATAGCGGGCTTTACACAGACACTCTATCGCGCATATCGCGCATGATACAGCAATCGTGCGCGATTGAGCGCGCATGGAAAGATGTTGAAGGAAAAGTGAAAGAGCGCACGATTGCGCTCATCAGTCGCGCGCGTAATCGCTCACTCCGACACGCGCCAATTTCACACGGTCTATCCTGCGCTATTAGCTTTTACACGGACGCTCTTTCCGTTGTAACAAAAACGAACACGAGCAATTACACGCGAAAGAACGTTAGCGTCAGAACTTGAAAAAAAAAGAAAAATTGCGCGTGCAAGCTTCCCCGCGCTCAATCCTGTACGCTTCTAACCATGCGCGGAGTGATTGTGTAAATTAGTATTATTTTACTATGTTAATGCTACGCGGTTTCTTATATTGAAAAGTCTTATTTATATTATTCTAAATACTTGCGTCTACGTCTCCGATTCAATCAATCGCTTTATTTCCCATCATTAAACAGCGCTTGTGACGTCATGAGAGGTATAATGAAGGCCCATTTAGATGGAGAGAGTTTATCGCACGCATCGTGGGAAAAAATCGTACGCGACTATCGCAAGCAATAATCGCCAGAAGATTCTCGTATCATCATAATGTGGACAAACAGGCAAGAACTAAAATCTCGCCTACGATTATATACGTACGAGATTCGCAAGCAACTTAATCTCCTTCTCGATTGTTTACACAGAGAAATATATAGTAAGGAGATTCTTGCTTACGAGTTCTCGACCTGTTTAAACACGATCTCGTACGACATTTTTCCAAGTTCATACGAGTATCGTACAAATCAGTTCGAACCCTTTTTAGGTGCGAGAATTACCATTCAAGTTCAGTGATTACTGCGGTATTGACTACGGATATACGAAAATCACGCAAAAATAATTCAAATTTGGAACTGCTGGTGATGATATATTAAGTTCATTGAACTTTATAGAAATATATTTTTTATAATATTTTATATACTTTTTAATTTTAAAACACTTTTTAACCCAACATTTTTTTAGTTTTCGTTTCATTAATTCTTGTCTTAGAAAAGCAGTGATAATCAAAACACACTGCTGCGGCTGGCACAAAAACTCGAAATATGATTTTTGCTTTCAAGTTCTTTTTACATGGAGACGTTCAAAATTCAAAGGCGAGGCGATTATCGCTCACGTGGAATGGCGATAATCGCGAATATTTAGACGAGGAGGTTTTATATGTTCTTTCGATATCGTATATATCGATAAATATATATCGATATCGTTTCTTCGAGACGAGAAACTCTCTTTATTTAAATGGGCCTTAAATGTGGTATACGAAAAGTTCAGGCTAAACTGAAAAACCTTTTATTGGAAAAGTAACATTTCATACTTTAATTTTCATTTATTAGTTATTAAGAATCCATATTGGCATATCCTGTATACAGTACACCTGACATTGTTAGTTTAATTCAAATAAATATAATAAAAATTATAAATTAAAATTAAAAATTTATTTATTTCTCAATTTGGTCCAACAATGGTAGATCAGGTCCTTCCTTTAAGCTTTTACATTTATGCTTGTGTTGGGAAAGCCTTGTAACTAAGCTTAAAACTGAGAATTTACAACAAAGTCACATCAGTGGATTAGTTTTAAGATATAATGATATTTAAAATGGAAAAATTAAAAATGAAAAAAAAAATTAATATAAATTAAAAATAAAATGAAAAATTTTCAGTATGTAATGTGTATAAACTTGTGTGTGTGAAAGAGAATGTGTGTGAAAGTGAGTGCGCGCGCGCGCGTGCGTGCGTACGTGCGTGCGTGCGTGCGTGCGTGCGTGCGTGTGTGTGTGTGTGTGTGTGTGTGTGTGTGTGTGTGTGTGTGTGTG